AACCTCCCAGGGCTGCCCACAGGACACAGCAGCACCCCACAGGGGACCTACCTATAGTCAGATCTCACCTTGCAGGAAACCCCCCCTGTCCTAGAGCCAGACTCAGGCTCTGGATGAGGACTCAGAGGGAAACAGGCTGGACGTGCTCCCCTTCCTTCCTGCGGCAGGATTCCCTGTCATGCCCTCGGGCCGCCTCTGCCACAACTGGGTGGACCACACACCAGCTCCCAAACAGGCTCCTGCTTCTGCCTCTGTGCTGCTCAGCTGAGCCTCCCACCCTCCCCACCACTGCCTCCTCCCTTCTCACACTTGAAAAGCCTGGGCATTGTCTCCAGGGCCTCTGCCCAGGAAGTACCCTGGGCCTCCTTCCCCTTCCTATCCTTTGCCTTACCTATGCTAACTCAATTCTTCAACACCCAACTCCCATTGAACAGATGGGAAAATGGAGGCAGAGAAGCTAGAATCAACCCCATCCATGCTTGGCCAACATGCAAGCAAGTTCAACGTGAATTTCACTACAGGCTCCACGCAGGGAGAATGACATTTGCTTCGTGCACTGGTAATGACAGCCACAAACTTCCCACCATCTACCTGGGCCTTGGTCTGACACTTGCTGGCCACCATGGCCAACTGCTTTATCTAATCTGACTGCTCAGGGCTGGAGGACAAGGACAAGGACAGAGGTAGAGGCCCGTTTCCTGTGACAGAGTATCTACCAGTCCCTTCTGTAGGCACTCCATGGCAGACACCTTTAGCTTCCTCCCCACCTCCACCCAGACAGGTCGGGTCATCACAAGCTCAGATGTGCTAATTAAGTCACACAGTAAAGTGGCTGTGCCAGGTCTCATGCCCAGGCAGCACAGGGCACGTGCCTGAGCGCCTACACCAGAGACCAAGCAGACAAGAGCTACAAGTTAGCAACAATGCATCAGGCACCCCAGGGGCAGGAGGGAGACACCACACTGGCTGGCTGTTTACCTCCACAGGAAGTGTCTGCCTAACCTACCCTAGAGAGGAGTGAACTTTGGCCCTTTCCCAGAGGGGGGGGGTCTAGCATGTGACCCCGGGTGGGCAGAGTGCGGGGACCAGGTCAGACATGCTCAGATGCAATGTGGCAGATGGGCAGGGGGAGTGACACCCCCAATTAGGAGATGAGGCTCGGGCCTGCCCCCCAGCCCATGCCAGCAATAAGGCTTCCAGCAGCTATTTCCTAACACCTTACAAGCATTAATTGCATTCATTAAACCTCACAGTGGGGGGTGAGTGAGAAGGGGGCCAGTATGGGCATCTTTGCTATGTCCAACCCTGAGGGTGAGTCAGAAAGGGAGATTGGAAGATACTGCCACCTCCTGTCTGAGCCACTCCTGCGGCCTTGCGGGGAGACAAGCTCCTGCATCCTGCACTGGGGCTGTTCCCACTGCCCCTGCAACACAGCAGCTCCCTCCCCACATGGAGGCCGACCCGGCTGGGCTCCCATCAGCCGGTGCAGAAGGGAAGAGGCCTCACCTCGGTCAGCCCAGGAGGACAAGGATGGACTGCATGCAGCAGGCACCTCCCAGAGCCAGAGGCTGCTGCTCCCCAGAGCACAGCCCCACTCAACAGAAACACAGGTTAGAAACGGCTTGGCCCTGGTTCTGCAGCCCCAGTCCTGAGCTCTGCCTCTGGAAAAGCAACCAGGAAGCCTCCCTTTGGTCCCCACGACTCAAGGGATTCTGGGAAATCGCTCAATGCCTCCAGGTCAGGACCGCGCACAGCATGGTGGCTGTCTGCTCACAGCCAGGCCTCAGGATGATAATCAGAATTATCAAAAGAATTTGCCACAGGGAGGACTGCACAAATGCACAATACTGGCTATGCACACATTCCTTGCAGCCTTGATGCTGATAGCACCACAAACTGCCCAAACATTACCGACTTAAGCTTATATACCACTCAAAAATGTGTGCATACCATTACACATGAGACAAGTATTTGTTTTCAGAAAACACTTGAGTTACCTATGCAAGGGGTTCAAGAACTTTTATACTTTCCACTCCTTTTCCAGCAACCCCTTGAAGTACAATTGATTCACAGGAATAAAACCTAGGAGCAGGGCCGGCGCCGCGGCTCACTAGGCTAATCCTCCGCCTAGCGGCGCCGGCACACCAGGTTCTAGTCCCGGTCGGGGCGCCGGATTCTATCCCGGTTGCCCCTCTTCCAGGCCAGCCCTCTGCTGTGGCCAGGGAGTGCAGTGGAGGATGGCCCAGGTGCTTGGGCCCTGCACCCCATGGGAGACCAGGAAAAGCACCTGGCTCCTGGCTCCTGCCATCGGATCAGCGCGGTGCGCCGGCCGCAGCGCGCCGGCCGCGGCGGCCATTGGAGGGTGAACCAACGGCAAAAGGAAGACCTTTCTCTCTGTCTCTCTCTCTCTCACTGTCCACTCTGCCTGTCAAAAAAAATAAAAAAATAAAAAAAAAAAAAAAACAAACCTAGGAGCATACAGAAAGATTGAACAGGTATGGCCACTTCACGTTTAAAATCGAAAATTTAGAAATGCAAGCAACCAGGCCCCCATTGAGGGGCGACACCCCCAGAAAGTGCAGTTAAGGACTACTCCAGAAGGGGGAGAAGCAGAATTCTGGGAGCTACTTCCCACCCCCAGAGCCCTCTGCATCAGAGCCAAGGCCCCTGCGCTTCTGCACCTCCCTCCCACTGCTGCAGCTAAGGATGCCTTCGACGCAGTCCATCTGAGCATCAGGGCAGCCTTGACCTCATCTGCTGCACTGCCAAGCTGTTTATGATTCCAGTACGCAAATCCCCCAGCCAAAGAGCGCACCAAAGCCTCTGTGCACTGACACTGACCGTCACTGCAGTCCTGCAGCCCAAAGGCACCACTGGGCGGGGGGCACCTGTTAGAGGTGGGAAATCTGCACAATGCAGTGGCATTGGTTTAGGTGCCCCCCTTGCACCTGTATTCTCTAACTGAAAACTCCCTTAGGACTCCCAAGCTCTTGTTGAGGATGGTTTTACAGGACAATCGCACTTAAGTCTCCTGTCCAAAAGAAACTTCCTTTGTGTTGGGCCACTTGGGTTTAATCCACCTGATTATTTGTCTGTGGTAAGTCAGGCATCCAATATTTCCCCAAGGAAAGCCAAGACCCCTGTGATGCCAAGGTGCCCAGCTCCACCTTGCTCAAGGCTTGCTTATTTCTCTATTTGAAAGGCAGAGTTACAGAGAGGCAGAGAGAGGTCTGTCTGCTGGCTCACTCCAAGTAGGTGCAATGGTCAGAGCTGGGCCAATCCAAAGCAAGGAGCCGACACTGGCACTGGCATCCCACGTCAGAGCATCAGTTCAAATCCCCACTACTCACTCCTGATCCAGCTCCCTTGCTCAGGGCCTGGAAAGGCAGCAGATGGCCCAAGTGCCTGGGCCCCTGTACCCATGTATGTGGGAGACCTGCATGCAGCTCCTGGATCCTGGCCAGACCTGGCTGTCAGTCATCTGAGGAATAAGCCAGCGGATGAAGCTCTGTCTCTCCCTTTGTCACTGTGCCTTGCAAATCTTTTTAAAAACAAAAACTGGCCAGGTACTGCCCACCTCAATGGCCGAGAAGCACTATTGTCTTCTCCAGGACTCATCCAGCCAGCTCTGGGAGGTAGAAGGGGCTGCGTGAAGTCTTCTACAGTACTTGACACTCCTCGCAGGCTGGCCTTAGCTCACGCAGATTTTCACACCTGACTATGCTTCCAGCTCAACCCAAACACCCCAGGACACAGGAGGAGACAGAGGACTTGGGCCAGCCAGCGTACAGCACTGGGGTCTCTAAGTACAGCTTTCTTGCTGGTTCATGCCAACTAGCTCCCTGGGTCTGTGTGCAGACTGCGGGGGGTAGGGGGCAGCCCCCCAACCTCTTCCCACCGCAGGGGCCTGCAGCTGGCCCCATCCACCCCCAGCCTCTCTCCCGTGAGTATCTGCTCTGCTGGGCATCCATGCCAGGTGCTGAGGAATTAAGGCAGGCAGAGAGCAGTCCTCCCAGAGCGGCCAGTAGGGCAAGGAGGGGGTCAGGAAAAGCAGAGTGTGCTAACAGAAGCTAGCTCCGCCCACCAAAACCTGCACTGCTCACTTCAGGCATCCTGCTGCCCAGAGTTCACGGGACAAGATTTTCCCACACCCCTGTGCTCAGAGCTCTCTAAATCCAGGTGCAACGCATCCCATATAGGATAACCCAGAAAAGCCCCTGCCATAGCCCCTGCCTGTTGAGGCATCCAGCCTAGTGGGTGCCTTGCCCCTGCCCTGCAGGCCCCTCGGGGTGCTGCCTGTGGTGGTGGCTGTGTGCAACCCAGCCCGCATCCACGTGGCCAGGAGGAGCTGGCAAGGGACAAGCAGGAAGGCATCACCCCTTCTCCAGGAGCTCCGGCACCATCGTCGGCCCAAGCGCGCACTAGGACAGGAAGCCAAGCTGCTGCACTCCAGAAAGTCTTAGGGAGAAGCCTGCTTCCTCAGTGCAGGGGGAGGTGTCCTGCCAGGACCACCTTCTCAGCCTGGTGCAGGGGCACCCACACCCCTCCCAGGCTGGTGCCCAGGCCAAGATCAGAGGAGGGAACAGACTGGAATCCCCCAGGCAGAACCTTGGATGTTTCAGATGCTCTAGGGAACTTCCTCCAAAATTTGAGACCCCCTAGGACAAGTTCAAGTCCCCATCCTACTTTCAACAGTTGTTACATCCCACAGGCAATGCTTGGTATGACTGTGGCAGAGCTAGGTGTTCCAAGCACTTAGGCCTCTGCACCCATCTGGGAGACCTGGATGGAGTTCCAAGCTCCTAGCTTTGGCCTGGCCCTGCCTCAGCCTTTGTGGGCAATTTGATATGTGAATCAGAGGAAGGAAAATCTATTTGTAAATAAATCTTTAAAAGTGAAAATGAGGGCTGGCATTGCGGTACAGGCAGGTGTAAAACATCCCTCCCAAATCAGGCATCTTATTAGCAGAGTGTGGGTTCTGGGACCAGCTACTTTGCTTTTTTTGTGCCCTAAGCATGAAACAGCTCCGGCCACCAACACAGGCATCCAGCTAGGATGAACAAAGGACTGTGCATCTGCTCTGCCCCTGGCTGATAGAAGAGCAACACCACAAAGAGGTGTCTCTCTGCCCAATGCCAGGGGTGGTACTCTACTTCTGACCCAGCTTCCCTGCTTCTGCCTGGGAAGGCAGCATGATGGCCCAAGTGCTTCAGCTCCTGCCACCCATGTAGGAGACCTGGTTGGAGTTCCTGTCTCCTTGCTTTGGCCCTGCCCTGGCTACTGAGCCCATTTAGGGAGTGAACCAGTGGACCTGTTTCTTTGCTACTCTGCCTTCCAAATAAAATTTTTTTAAAAAAGTGAAAATATTAAGATACTAATAGTGGAGGGGTTGGAAGTTAAGACATAACCCAGAAATAAATCCCACAGGCTGGAAAGCTCACCATCTGACTAATAAAACTTTCCCAAAGAGCAAAGGGGGAGCTGGTGCTGTGGCACAGCAGGGTAAGCCACGTCTACAGAGCTAGCATCCCGTATGGGCGCCAGTTCGAGTCTGAGCTGCTCCACTTCTGACCCAGCGCCCTGCTGATGTGTCTGGGAAAGCAGTGCAAGATGGCCCAAGTGCTTGGACTGACAGATCGGGAAGTAGCTCCTGGCTCCTGGCTTCAGCCTGGCCCAGTCCTGGCATTTGTTTCCATTTAGGGAATAAACCAGCAACGGAAGATTTGTCTCCTTCTAATTCTGACTTTCAAATTAATAAAAAACGATCAGACAGTAAACATGCTCCAAATCACTCCCTCAGAGACAGGGACACCCCTCTCCCGGTGCCCAGCCCAGGACACACCTGTGCTGTTCTTGGTCAAGAACCTCCAAGACTGTTTCTCCTGCCCACCGACTCAGTCAGCCTCAGGGCAGGGGAATGCCATGGCTCCCCCAAAACTTGCAAAAGCTGTGAAACTTAGGTGGCAGAACTAAAGACACCCAAGAAGAAGGGCAGTGGGGGGGGTGCGTGCGTACTGTAGTGCAGGGCACTAATCTGCCCGCTGTCAGAGTTCCTGGCTACTCTGCACTCTGCACTCAGCTCCCTGCTAACCTTGTCTGGGAAGGCCAAAGTATTGGGTTCCTCCCGCCCACATCTGAGTCCTGGAAGGGAAGGCGCTCCTGGCTTCAGATCGGCCCAGCTCCGGCCTTTGCGGCCATTTGGAGTGCATACAGTGGGTGGAAGATCTAACTATCTTTCAAATAAATGACTAAGTGGTGAACATTTCAAGGGAGGAATGGAGAAGGAAAGAAGTTAATCTGTGCGTGAAGGGACGTAGGCACCTGCTGGATCATGAGCAGATCCACCTCTTCCACTGCTGCAGGGGAGCCAGCCCGGCAAGGCACCCGTCACGCCCCCTAAGGAGGGCTGGACCCGCTGCGTCCACAGCCCCGTGCCTCTGCCTCTGTGTAGGGTCAGCCTATCCCTCTACTTTCTCTCCATTTCTAGCCCCAAATGGCCAACAGTGATTACCTTGAGATGAGGTTACAGGTGCCTCCGCAGTCCATAAACTTGATTTGTATTTGTATCAGAAGCAGAGAGAATATCATTTGTTGAAGTACTGCAGTTTCCCTCCCCACAAAGAACTGAGTTATCCTCTGCTAACTTAGGATCACGTTTCTCCCACAAGGAATTAACTACTTGCTAATATTAGCGTTTCCTATTGAAACGAACATTCAGCATGGGTTGAATCTTTGGTGTGTTCCTTTTAAAATCTATTATCAGGGGGCCAGCGCTGCAGCAGCGGGTTAAAGCCCTGGCCTGAAGCACCAGCATCCCATATGGGCATTAGTTCTAGTCCCGGCTGCTCCTCTTCCAGTCCAGCTCTCTGCTATGACCTGGGATGGCAGAAGATGGCCCATGTCCTTGGGCCCCTGCACCCACGTGGGAGACTGAGACCTGGGAGAAGCTCCTGGCTACCAGTTTCAGATCGACGCAGCTCCAGTTGTTGCGGCCATCTGGGGAGTGAACCATCGGGTGGAAGACTTCTGCCTTTCCTCTCTCTGTGTAACTCTGACTTTCAAATAAATAAATCTTAAAAAATTTTATTTATTTGAAAGAGTTACAGCGAGAGGAAAAGATAGAGGTCTTCCATCTGCTGGTTCCAAATGCTCCCCCAAATGGCTGCAATGGCCAGAGCGGAGCTGATCCGAAGCCAGGAGCCTCTTCCAGGTCTCCATGTCAGCTCCAGCCCAAATAAATTTTTTAAGAAGCTGTTATCAACCCAATAAAAGCCCAGCTTCCCTTGGAATTGGCCAGGGATTTAAGTGGGTCCAGAGGCTCAGGACTGCCTTGTAAGTGGAATGTGCAGGAATACAAACCAGATCTCATTGCAACACGCAGGCCCCTTTGGTCCACTGCCTCAGTTGCCTTTTTCACAATGCTGGGGCCTCTTACCAACTAATTTTGTGGATAAGCAGCACAAGCTTGCTAACTGCAAAGGTGCTAGGATTCCATTTAATCCTCTTAGCAACCATGCTATCCCATATACCCTCTTCATAGATGTCTCCACCCAGAGCAAGACCCACCTGAACATCTGCACTGGGCTTTTCCCTTCCGGGAGGACCAACCCTGCCCTACAATGGTGAGACGTGGAACGTCTCCCTACCTAGGTGCGGGACCACGTGGGTCTGGAGCTCAAGCACCAGGGACAACATCAACACCAGGAGGGAAGATGAGCCTGCCTGTCCTCTTTACTGATGAACTCCAACCCGAATTCCTGATCTAAAGGAACAACTTAACTGTTGTACCTGAGGGGCCAGCATTGTGACACGGCAGATTACTGCCTGCATCCCATATCCTAGAGTGGGTGCAAGTTCTAGCTGCCAAACTTCCTATCCAGCTCCCTGCTAATCCACCTGGGAAAGCAGCAGAAAATGGCCCAGGGGCTTGGGTCCCTGCCACCCATTAAGTGACCAGGGTGACGTTCCTGGCTCCTGGCTCCTGCCAGCTCCAGCTATGGTACCCATTTGGTTTGGTTTTATTAATTTTTTACTTGAAAGGCAGAGTTACAGAGGGAGAGAGTAGGAGATAGAGATCTTGCATTTTGTGGTTCACTCCAATGGGATGGTGGTCTTGCAGGAGGGCTGATCCTGCCTTACACCACAGCACCAGGCCCATAAATCTTTAAAAAACAAAAAGTACCTGAGCCGAGTCCTTGCACCTGAGGAGCTAGCAGGAGGGAGAGCAACGCGCACACTGCAGGGCCCAGGAAGAGCTGGCTTCTTCCTCGAGTCAGGCCATCTCAGCTGGACCTGGAGAAGGTGTCGGAGCCTGGAGGTGCGGCAGTCAGGGTAGGGACTGCTCTAAGGCATGTTTTCCCAAAGAACTTGCCCAAGTCCCCTGTGGAAGCAGGTCTCTGGGGCTGGAATAATGAGGGGTGACAGGCGCCTCTGGGCCACAGGCCCCACGTGGCTGGAGGAAGGGAAGAGGGGAAGCAGCCTCTCCAGCCCTACCTCTCTGGCCCCTCCCTCCGCCCCCTGCAGCTCAGCTACCCCTCCCCTCCCCCCAGCGTCTGCAGGGGTAGAGGTGATGACTAAGCCTTTAAGAAGGATGTGGCCAGTGGCCCTGGCCCCTTTGTCTCAGCCCTCTCCAGCCCAGTGGGGAAAGGCACAAGCTCTCCTTAGCTCCTCAATTACACCTTCACCGTTGGCCCCAAGCATGGAGGGAAGGCGGAGTTAAAAATGGCCCCAACCCATAAAAAAAAATGGCTCCTTTCAAAAGGGAACAAAGGCAATCCCTCCTGCCAAGTCCCAAATCATGGACAAGGATTTGGAAACGCTTTCATAGCCGAGAAAGGAACAGAATGCCTTCGTGGTGAAGACAGGAAGAGGAGGGGCACGCGAAGGTGCCTCCCTCCACTCCGGTTCTGTGCTGACCTTCCCAAGTTAATTCGCACCTTAACACCCAGCACGTGCTCGCCCACGCCAGCCACCAGAGTCCCCATCCTGGCGCCCAACATCAGAGAGCAGAGCTGCCTTCATCCCTACACCACCTGGGCTTCCTGGGCCAACTCCCACCTAACAGAGTTTAAACACATGCGCGCAGCCTAGGATGCAGGAGGCAGGCAGCCCGCTTCGCTAATAAAGCCAGCATTGCCAACATTTGAGCGCTCACTGCTCTCTGGAAGACAGAAATCGGTCCCTGGGGTTTCCATGAGCCAGAGACCATGAAGCCGCAGCCGGGCTGGTGCAGGCTGGCAGAGCAAGGGCAGGGCCCCCGGCAGGAGCTGTCTCCCCACAACTGCCTCCAGTGCACCAAAAGCCACAACGTGCAGAACTCAGGTGGCACCTCACAGCTCGCCTCCCTTAATTCCCTCTAATTCATGACGCGTTCAGCTTGGGGGTGGGGTACTCGGGCGCAGAGGCCGGCGAGCCAGGGCTGCAGGCACAGGCTGGAGAAAGTGCCCAAGGGCCGCTCCTTCTCGCCAAGTCGATCCCTCTCATCTCCTTGCCTCCACTTCCTCCGTAAGTCGTGCTCAACAACCGCGCCCTCTAACTATCATCAGAGCAGGAAAGCGTACTTTGGGGCCTCGGTTTGCGAGTTTGGGACGTGGGGGCGGCCTCACTCTGGAAGAGGGCTGAGAATGCAGAGTGAGACCCCAGGGCGAGCAGCGTGGCAGGCCAGGGAGGGACCGCCCCCAGCCGGCTGGTCCCGGGCCAGGTGCGCACACGGAGCGAGCAGCCCCTCCCCGGGGCGTCTCGGCAGCCCGGCTACGCCTCGCCCTGGGCGGCTACGTCTCAGGACCCCGAGAAGAGTTACGGCTCCCGCCCAGGCTCACAGCACTCCGCAGCCCACCTGCTGCCCGCACCAGACCCCGCCGCCTCCTTCCGACCCCTGCGCTGCATTACGACCACGGACAGAGCCCGGGTCCCAGTCGGAAGACGGACGCCCACCTCTTCGGCAGAACTCCCTCCGCGAAGCTCCTCGCTGGCAGACGCCCCCAGGCCGAGCCCAGGTACGGACCCCCGCTGCCCACGAAAGTTTCCCGCTCCACTTCCCTAAGGGGACGCGCGACTCCTCCATGCTGCACCCCGGGGCGCGCGCGCCCGCCCCCAGGACAAACTTCTCGGGCTCCTTCTAGGTCCCCTGCACCCGGGGCGTCCA